TGTAAAGTGCGTTAATCGTGTTTTAAACGAAGACTACACGAGAGAATTTCAAGATTTCATTAACAGTTTTTCAAAATCAAACAGAAAAGGAGTTATGACAACTGCTAGAATCTGTGAATCTTACATAAATCGCATTTCTGTCTCATTAGAAGAAATAACAAAACCTTAGGCATTAAAGAAATAGAAGATAATTACGATGAAAACGTATGGAGAACTTGTAGAGATGATAATGCGATAACGCAAAATTCACCTCTAAAACTAAACGTTTTTCCAACCATTCCTGATGATTGTTTATACGCATGGGATTGCGAAACCTATAACGAAAATAAAGTCATACCTTATTCTTGCACGTTAATTAATTTAGAAAAACTAAGAAAAATGTTAGACAGAATAAATAATCTCTTTTCAGATTTAAAGCCGACAGATCCCATTCCAGAAGAATTTTATAATAAATTAATGAATATAGTAGAAATATTTGTAGGTACAGAATGCATCGATCAAATGTTACAACGTTTATGAAAAATAGATCAAAAAAGAATAACATTAATTGCTCATAACGCTAGCGGTTTTGATAACTGGATCATGATCAAAAACGTAAAAAAAACTAACACAATGCCCTTTAAAAAAAAATTAGAGGAATTCTGTCTCTACCTTTAACTAATTCATTCACCGATGAAGATTTACAGAAAAAATTCCTCGACACTTGAAAAAGGATAATATTTTAATTGCGTAAGTTTTTGGTTTAATTGTTATAATTTTTCACATCATTGTTAGCGTTATTTATCACCTAAATATATATTTTTGCATTTTTCATCATAACTTTCATCTTACTTTATATATCCCCAAACCCAGTTTGACTTATTTGCATAATTTGATCCCCACATTTTCACGCTAGCATATACAGTTTCCTCCTGTTACATCCGCTGTACGTTCCCTTTCTAACCTCAAGTTATTTTCATTATGCTCCCCAACTACAACAACCACTGGCAAGAAGCCAGACATAGAAACACTCATCGTCAACCAAACCAATATCACGTACCCTACAACGGCCCTGTCTTCCATCGACCTCTACCACCTACCAATCGCCGACCACCAACTAACCCATCCAGCTATATCCCACCCCATCGCCGACCTACCTACAACACCTACCAATCAAGAGGTAACCATCGACCTGACCAACAACAGAAACGACTACCAGCCCACCGACGCCAACCAGTCCCCACTCATAAGTAGGAAGAACCCTTTGTGAAGGTGTTCTTCCAAGTTTTGCAGTGCCTCCATCATTTGGCAATCCTTACCCTTCAACAGCAAGGCCAACCAGCGTTTACCTTCAAACGCAAAGTCTCTGAGTTGGATAGTTTTATCCGTCCAGCAATGAAAACATCAGCTGTTGACGCGAATATTAGATCCCTCAATCGGACATGGCTCTCCAAGGTTACGCAGGTCCTGATCGACCATTACCAAACCACACTTCAAGAGAAGCTGACCACCATTCGTACTAAGTCTTTATCATCACCTGGCGTCGACCGCATCGTTTCTCATGCCCTGTCCTGGGCCCGTCGCTCCTATGGGAAACTTCTCACTCAAGCTGTAATCACCAAGTTCTACCAAAAAATCAACGAAACAAAAACCAGAGTAACCATATCTCTACCAACTGAAATGGACACTACACCTGCACCATCTAGAGCCACGACGCTGCCGAACCAAACCCCTAAACGAGCCCGAAGTTCACCTACTCCTAGTCCAGCAGGCATAGGTAAACGCTCTCGTAGAGAGGGCACTCCCCTTCTCTTTTCACTTTCAGACTCGTCTTCCCATTCCACACCATCTGAATCTTCACCACGTGATCCAGGATCCGCCAACCTTTCTTCCTTCTGTGCGTTTTTGGACCAGCAAACCACCCCTCAGTCTCCATCCAAGTCGAGATGTATATCCAGACCTTCCCCCCCTCGAACGAGATCCCAGTCCTTTCCCAATGCTACAATTCTAACAACTACCAAACCAGTACCAATCACACCGTCGACGACCATTATATCCGCTACCAAACCGTATTATCACCAAACCAAGGACAAATCATTATGGAAGCTACCCGCTCTAAAGAAATCTACCTTAATTATTGGATCATCTAACCTGAATCGAATTACCAAAACCGGTTCAGACACTGAAAAACATTCTTACCCCGGTGCCCAAATCCATCACATACAGTCAATCCTGGAATCATACGACCATGATCCCAAACCTACTACCATTATTCTTCATGTAGGCCTCAACAACCGTGATCAGCTACCAAAGACCTCCTTTAACCAAGCCCAGAAATTAATCGCCACAGCCAACAAAACCTTCCCAAACTCCAAGATCCTCTTCACATGTATACCCATTTCAAATAAAATCTCGAAGAAAGCACAACAGAACCTCAGCACTCTCAACAACATGATTATGGAGTCCAGTATCAACAGCGCAACAATCTTACCATCCTACGAAGAAGAATTCGAACCAGTTGATAATCTTCATTGGTCTCCAGAAACAGCAAACAGCATTTATTTGTTTTGGATACACCAGCTTCAAGCATCGAGTAAGTCTTTAAACTAATTACTGGGGATAAAAATACTGAGAGGCCACCGCTAGGCCAAACTGTAGTTAACTTGAGCCGCAAAATTCTCACACTCCTTCAGCATTCAATCTTAGACCGTGGACTTAAATTTATTCCCACACCAAAGATAGCTAACTTGAATTATCTCCGACCATCCATTGAACGATTTCAACGAAATCTTAGCTGCACATATTTTTTTCGAAACCACCCCCCACGTGGTGCTAGAACAATGTTTATTCCTAAATCCACGTGGACACCCCCTCAGGCCGCCATCCATCCTGAAATATTGAAAGCATTTGCGAGTATGAATAACCAAACAGTGAACCTTTCCATACACACGAAAAGCCTTATCTCACACGAGTAGAACGTGAAGCGTTAAACTTACTTAAGAAAGACGATAGCATTGTTATTAAAAAGAGTGACAAAGGTTCATGTTGTGTCATTCTGAATAGGGAAAATTACGTTTCAGAAGCAGAGAATCAACTGAATAATCCTAAACATTATGCCATTTTACCGAAACCAATTTTCAAAGAAACTGCTAACATGATTAACAATATTCTTGCCGATTTAGTCAAAACTAGTTATCGCGAGAGACATTGTACACTTTGCCTAAAATCCATAAGAGTCCAACCAAGGAGTGGTTTATCTCGAATAAAATCCCTAAAGGCCGCCCGATTATATCTGACTGTGGTAGTGAGTCATATGCAGGGTCAGAATACATTGACCATTTCTTACGACCTCTAGCATGTCAACATCGCGCCTACCTTAAAGACATAACCGATTTTGTCAATAAAATAAAAAATCTTCGAGTTCCCTCTAATGCTATTTTAATTTCTATCGACGTTTCTTCTATGTATACCAATATCGATAACACTACTGGTTTAACGGCAGTTCGTAAAGCTTTTAATAGAAACCCAGATCCAAACAGACCCGACGATGCAATTCTACAGATTTGTCTTAGTCGAAACGATTTCACATTTAATGGTAAAACATATTTACAAACTTCAGGGACAGCAATGGGCAAACGATTCGCCCCTTCGTACGCAAACCTTTTCATGGCAGAGTGGGAACGTGAGGTGTTGCCCCTTTGTCCATTTGACCCACTTTTTCACGGACGCTTTTTGGATGACATTTTTATGGTTTGGACTTATTCTATCGAACAGTTTTGGGAATTCTTTGAAATTCTCAACAACCACCATCCTTCTATCAAACTAACCGCAAACGTGAGTGACAAAAGCATAGACTTTCTCGATACCATAGTCTTTAAGGGAGATTCCATAGCAGAAACATATAAACTGGATATTAAAGTGTATTTCAAAGAAACTAATACTCTTCAACTCTTGCACAAGAGCTCCTTTCACCCAAAACATACCTTTTCTGGTATAATTAAGTCACAAGTTTTACGATTTCATCGAATTTGTTCAAGATCTTCTGATTTCAACCAAGCCTGTACGATTGTTTCTCAAAACTAAAAGAGCGTGGGTACTCTAAACGATTTTTACGAAACAAAAAAAATTCGACCTTAGCACAGATAGCAGCTAAAAACAGACTTTATGCCGAAGTACCTCCAGTTTAAGAAGTGCTCCACGTTTGTCCAGTAGATGCCAAACATGTCCCTTTATATCAGAAACTCATTATTTTGTAAGCAACTCTACGAAAAAAAGGTACCCGATCCAGGAACATCTAACGTGAACATTCGAATGTAATATATTTAATTTCATGCAAGAAATGCCCCAAACAATATGTAGGAGAAACTAAGAATAATTTACGAACTCGCTTTAATGCTCATAGGTCAGACATCAAATTAAAGAAAGACAAGCCTGTTTCTAATCATTTCAACCTCGACAACCATTCAATAGACGATCTCACCCTAATCCCAATTGAGCGTATAGAAATTGACTTGCCCGAAGATGAAACTACCAAATTCCGTCAATCTAGGGAAGCCCATTGGATTGAGACATTGAATACAGCAAGACCTATAGGACTAAATATTCATCATAATGTAGGCATAGCACCCTTTGTTGTCCCGTTTAATACAACCAGCAATCGAGCAAGCAAGATACTTCATGCCCACTATAAGAGCCTTCAAGAGAAATTCCCCCATGTCTATAAGCAGAAAATGATAGTTGCATATTCAAAAAATAAGAACTTAAATGATAATATTGTTCATAGTAAACTAAAAACAATCAGCACATAACAGATACTATACTTCTCGCCCATCGGGCGAGTTATTTTTTCTAATTTCAGATCAGAATAAGAACAGAAGAAAACCCAATATCAAGACCCTTAATCCTAATTTCTAAATAAAGTGTCTGCTCCACCCTAAGCCTGTACATTTGGGAGAATCAAACCCTCCCTTCCCCGAAATCTAATTATTTGCAAAATATTAATTTCATATATTCCTATCAACATGAAATGGGGTAATTCATCTAATCTACCGATGAATTTGAGAAAGATCGAGGATGTAGACATTGCAAAATACATCAAAGATAATTGGGAATCTTTAAGACACGAATGGGAACCTTACGATAAAAGAGATACGTTATGTCTCGGAACTTGTTTGATAAAATACAATCAAGCAATGAAAGAAGTTGTATTAAAGAATATTTCCAATAATCCAACGGCTCCTTCGTTATCTTTAAAGGGTTGGTATTATTTATATCATTACGATAAAGAAATGATTGAAGAAGAATGGTATGAAAGTACTATAATGGTTCCGAAACACACCGAAAAAGAAAATGTAGAAAAAGTTTACTCACATACTCACCCTTTTATAAGATATTTTATCAGACAAAGTATTAAAGGAGGAAGAGTTTCGGCAAATCGAAAATCATTTGAAACGAATAAAATGGATGAAATTTGTAATATATTAAAGGAATACACAGAAACAGCAAGTGATAATATAATTGATTTATTCAAAGAATATAGCGCTAGCACGAAAGATAAAGCGGAGGTTCATTCGAGACTTAAAAAAATAAAATGTACTAAACTAATGGCCTTTGATGCTAACGATTTGTACGCTTCAGCCATGTTGGATTTAGATAGCGAATATCTGAGAGCAGAAAGTGGTAGACCATTTCGACAAGAAGAAAATAAAGAATTTGTTAAGCTCTTTAATGAACAGAAATTCAGACCTAGAACTGCTATTTTAAAAGTCATGTTCTTCCAACCCATACCAGCTAAAGATAAAATCAGTTTTACGAGTAGAATAGGTAAAAAGGAAATTGGCACTAAAATCAGGTTCAAAAATGGTTTCTGTCACGACGTTTTAACATCGGTCGATATTCAAGAAATAGTGAAAGCCGGTGGACGAATTATTAAAATATTAGATGGTATAGTTTACGAAGAAAATTTTAAAACTCCACCCTATAGAGATTATATTTTAATTTTAAGAGATCTAAGAAATAAATATAAACGAGAAGGTAATATCGTAGGTAGTAATTGCATGAAATTATTAGGCAATTTGTTGTATGGTAAGTCTATTCAGAAGGATATAACTACATCGAGACAACTATGGAGTGAAGTGACTTTAAAAGCCAACTTCGATTCTCACGTTATAAACTATGAAAAAGTAAATGATAGTCTATATATAGTTGAGATAAATAAAGAAGAAAAAGAATTTGACTGTACACTTCCTTAATCTACACGACTAACACCTAGTCATTTGGGATCATTCGTTTTATCTCACAGTAAAAAAATAATGAATAATTTTATTCGCGTGATAGATGGATTTTATAAGTCTGAAATATACTATATGGATACCGATAGTTTATACATTTCGTCTAGCAATTGGGATAAATTGAATGAAGGTGGGTTGGTGTCCGAAAATGATTACGGTGATGGTGGAATTATATTTGGTTTATATTTAGCGCCAAAAGTTAAATACAATATCATTCTAACTTCCGACGGTATTCTAAAAGAAAAGGGTTTAAGGGTTACTCTAAAGATAAGATATCCGTAGAAGATTATATTCGATTAGCTAGTGGACACGATGTAACCAATGAATTTAAGAAACTTTGGGTAAAAAGTTTCACCAATGGAGTAGTTATTCCAAAGGATGATAAACAAAAGAAAGTTTTTAGAAGTTATCTAAATCTCGTTAAGAGAAAAGCACTAAACAGTGAAGGAATCATGTATCCTTACAACGACGAAAAAGAATTGAACATAGATGAAAACTACGAATTTGATGATTTCGATTACCTTACTATTCAAGAAGAGAATGAAGAGTGTTAATTTTTTTGTTTTAAATGAAGTTGAATAACAATTTCCTCGTTATCAAAATCTATAAACCTATTTTTACCATCTTTGATTTCCAGATTTATATCTTTAATCATAAAGGAATTAAGTGGTAAATACCTCGTTTGAAATGGTTTCTCTATAATTCTATATCCTATCGGTACAGTGAAAGTTGGAAGACTGTAAATAATCTGACGTTTGTATTTATTGAAAAATCCATCGTTTATCAAATTTCAATGTATATTTATCACATCAATATCATTCTCGATATTAGCTTTGTTTGGTGCTAAAGTGGATTGGGTGTATACTCGTTTATCAAATCCTAGTAACGTATTCAATGAATTTTCTACGTTGAAATCAACTTGACTATTATTTCTTAATATCAATTTTATTTTGTTCAGATTCAAATTACCTTCGAATTCAATATTGTTTTTACCATTGACACTTCCTCCATATTCAGATAGGTATTCGTTAATGGCTATGTATTCGTAGCTTCATGGTAGTAAACGAATGGGTTTGAACTTAACTCCGTTATCTGTTGATATTTTTATTTGGTTATTTTTTTCGTTGATATTTCTAATGGAATTGTAAACAGAGAAATACTTTAATCCCAATTCATATTATTGATTGCGATCGAGTTCGTACTCATAATTTAGAGATAATTTAATGTCTGATTTATTTGAGGTGATGACGAATAGTTGTTCTTTTTTTGACATTTTTAATCACGCTTTTATAATCATTTTTATCTATGATAACTTTATTTAAATATGTTTCAACTGCTTCCAATCTTCTTGTTTTGGGTCCCGTCTTTCTTATTGCATGAAGAAATGTTGAGTATACTAGTAAATCCTTGTAATCGGCAATGTCAATATACCCGCCATTCATTAAATCTATTAATCCTTTTGTTGATGTAAATGTAAAGTCTTTTGTATCGATTTTGAATTGCGGTAAATTTTCATTAAATTTTATTCTATATCCATTAAACAATAAACCTTGATTATCAACGATTGGTGAAATGCTCTTTGGTAAAACTGGGTCAGGGTTTGAAAAATAATTATTTATATCATCTAATGTCCTAATTATGATTTCATCATCTTTAATGGGATATTCTATTTGATGAGGAGAAGGAAACGGTGGTTGTTGAATTTGTTTAGGTGTGGGTTCTAATTTCTTTTTAATATCCTCTTGAGATTTTAATATGGGTTGAAATAGAGTTTGTAGATTTTTCGTTAATCCGAGTTGTTGTAATATGTTATTTTCAACTTGGGTATTTATTTTATTCTTAGCTTTGATATATTTTTTATTTCTTTTTAAAATATTATTCCAATTATCCATTTTTAAAAATATAAAATTTAACAAATGTCTGTCATAACTCTTTCACCCGCAGGCTTTCTAGTATTTACAAATACATATCCATGATCATCTGGATTTCTCCATTGAGCTTTACAAACCCTTTTAAATGTATCTGTATCCATTCCGTGATTTATCGACTGAATGATTTGAGATAAATCTTTATCTTTTAATTCAAATAATAAACTAGAACCGTTATAACGGTACCGAAGCAGTGCGCATCCAACCTGATACATCGATAAAACGTTGCATTTTAAAGTCACAATGGGATTTCTTACCGGAAAGAAAAGAATGTAAACGTTCAATAGTAGAAAAAATCGTTTAAACCGTTTACCGTTCGGTAGTGAAAAGACGCCTAAATTTGATACCATTCGGTACTAAAAGGTGTTAACATTCGGTAGTAAAAAGTCGAATTTTCAAATAGCTGTAAAGTTAAAAGTTCAATTCGCACAACAAAAATGAAAATATTTTTGGAAAGGTACAATAATTTGTGTTTCGGCCAAGAGGTCAACAGAGGTCAAATAAAAGAGAATATAAGCCTTAAAAGTGTTGAAAATTGCTGTTTTGGGACGTTTGTAAAAGCGAAAATATATGTCGGACATCAAAGATAAAAGTATGAATGGACATCGTAGATCAATAACCTTTGACCTTCTAAAGACCAAGATTATGCATGTAAATGGTCAAAATATCAAAATTTTATAAATTGTAAATCCTATTCCCTTTTTTAAAGTAAAAGGCCTAAACAAAATGTAACTCTATCAGATATTGTCCCAAATAGTGCTTTAATTTTTTGTAAAATGGTGAAAAATGCAAACTTTTCGAGTTATAACAATTTGAATTATTTATGGTAAAGGTAAAAGTATCCCGGATTTGCCACGCCCACTGCAAAAATTTTGTGTCGTCTGTAATAATGTGTATAATGTTAAATAATGTTCAAAATTTCAAGTGTTTACAATCATTAGATCATGAGATATTCGTAGTTAAAAGTTTTTTTTAAGGCAACTATGACTGTCAGTGGATTATAGAAAATGTTAAAATTACGCAAAGTTACTATAGAAGTCAATACAAAATTTTCAAATTCAATTTCAATCAAAATACCAAGTGTTATATATCATTTGAAAGAATAGATTGCGTGTAATAAGGACAAAAGATAAATTTTCGCTTATGTAAATTAGGTCACGTGATAGACCTTTTTTTGTTAAAAATCGCGATTTTCAATTGGCTGTAGAACCTAACGGAGCACGACAAAAGTGAAAATATCATCGGATATATCTCGTAATGGGCAACAACCTTTGTTCAGGTCAAAAGGTCAACAAAGGTTAAATAAAAGTAATATGAGCCTATGAAGTTTCGAAAATTGCTGTTTTCGGACGTCTGTAAAACCGGAAGTATATGTTGCACATCAAAAATCAAAGTAAGAATGGTCATCTTAGATCAATGACCTTTGACCATGCAAAGGTCAAGGTCATTTACGTTAAAGTTCAAAAATGAAAATTTTTAAAATTGTTAAACCTGTTCCCTCTTTTAAATTAAAGAACGCAAACAACTGTAATCTTATCACAAATTGTCCTAAGCTGTGATCTACTTTCATGCAAAATTTCTAGGATGACAATTGCAAACTTTGCAAGTTATGACAATTGCAAATATTTCAGGTAAAGGTAAATGCGCACCGGATGTGCCACGCCCACTTCAAAAATTTTAATTTGTCTGTGATGATGTCTACATTGTTAAATAATGTTCAAAATTTCAAGTCTTTACAATCATTAGATCATGAGATATTCGTAGTTAAACTTTTTTTTAGGGCAACGGTGACTGTCGGTAAATTATAGACACCCCGATTTTACGCACAGTTACTATAGAAGTCAGTACAAAATTTTCAATTTTTAAAACGCGCAATTTTGATCAAAATATCAAGTGTGATATATCGCCAAAAAGGAGAGATCATGCACTCTAAGAATATATAAGAAATTTTGTTTTATGTTAATTAGGTCACGTGACAGAGCTTTTCAAAGTTAAAATCGCGATTTTCAAATTGCTGTAGAATCGGAAGTTAACAATGCACAACAAAAGTGAAGATATTATCGAATATATCTCGTAAGGGGCAACAATTTTTGTTCAGGTCAAAAGGTCACCAAATGTCAAATAAAAGTAATATGAGCCTTTGAAGTTTCGAAAATTGCTGTTTTGGACGTCTGCAAAACCGGAAGTATATATCGGACATCAAAGATCAAAGTAAGAATGGTCATCCTTAGTCAATGACCTTTGACCATGCAAAGGTCAAGGTCATTCATGCTAAAGATCAAAAATGAAAATTTATAAAATTGTTAAACCTAATCCCTTTTTTAAAGTAAAGAATGCAAACAACTGTAATCTTATCACAAATTGTCCTACGCAGTGATCTATTTTCATGCAAAATTTCTAGGTTGAAAATTGAAAACTATGAGAGTTATAACAATTGCAAATATTTCAGGTAAAGGTAAATGCACACCGGATGTGCCACGTCCACTTCAAAAATTTTAATTTGTCTGTGATGATGTGTACATTGTTAAATAATGTTCAAAATTTCAAGTCTTTACAATCATTAGATCATGAGATATTCGTAGTTAAAAGTTTTTTTAAGGCAACGGTGACTGTCGGTAGATTATAGACACCGTGAATTTACGCACAGTTACTATAGAAGTCAGTACAAAATTTTCGATTTTTAAAACGCGCAATTTTGATCAGAATGTCAAGTGTGATATATCACCAAAAAGGAAATTTCATGCACTCAAAGAATATATAAGAATTTTTGTCGTATGTT